GCAACTCAGGATGCCCCCGTGCCACCCCCTCTACTTAGGAAACACAGACCTCTGGCTCCCCAAACTCTTCTTGAAGACAATCACCTCGACTTACCCCAAGGATGCATTTACCAGACCTGTTTTTAGGTTCCCCTCCGCACTCTGGTTCCCTCCCCTGGATACCCAGCTTGTCTCCATCTGCTCGAAGTGGAACAGACTCAACAAGCCGCCCTGCTTTGTTGAGGCCAGGCCAGTGAAGGCAGAGCAGGCACCCAGCCCCTCCTCCCCTGGTGATGCACCTGAGGTGTGCTGCCTTTCTGTGAACCCTGAATGAATGAATGAATGAATGGTGAGTGGCTCATGTGACAGGACTGGAGTGTGCACAGGGTGGCAAGGAGTGCATGAAGAACACTGCTCAAGATGTGAACCTAATGATGGTGGTGTCTCCCTCTGGGGGTTTCCAGAACGGCCCTGCGATGGAGAGAAGACGGCTTGCACAAAGGAAATGGTGCCGGATTGGAGCTGAATCATCTCCAGGCTCTCATCAGCTCATTCACTCAGCAAAGAGCCGTGCCCCACGCAGAGCCATCCTACATCCACAGGAAGTGTTTGTGGAGCAAAGAAAGGTTGGTCAGACTGGCCCAGACTGACATTTGGAACAGGTACGGCAGGGGGTGGAGAAAAGAGGGATCTTGAAGTCTTTTTCCTTCAGGCCTGATTCAGTAATTAAAGATTTGAGCGGGCTGCTTCTTAGAATGCTATAAAGGATGTATTCTTCGTCCCAGCAATTCCACTCCCAAAATTTTTCCTACAGTTAAATCAGACTTATGATGAGGTTATTCATTACTACAGTGTCTGTAACAATAAAAGATAAAAACAATCCAAAAGACAATCGATGAGGAACTGAGAAAATAAGCAGATATATCCCTACAATGAAATGTCATATTACCATAAAAGGAAAAGAATAATTAAGTTTACCACGCGCTGTTATGGAAAAATCTCAAGATAGACTGCCGAGTGAGAAAGTACAGTGCGGAACAACAGTAAACTGCTCTTTACATTAAATGAAAAGCTGTGGGGTGGTTCTCTGTCGTTGTGCCCCTCTGCTTATGAGCATAAAACATTGCAGGCAGAAAAGCAAGGACCTTGCTTGTTGGGAGTGCTGACGGGCAGGATGAAATAGCAGATGTGAGAAGGGAGGGGATGGGAAATTCTCACCTTGTGTCATGCTATACTCTTTTATCATTATTATCCATTTAAAAGTTTATTTCTGGTGAGTAAAAAACAATAATAATTTATGTCACAACCAGAAGGACCTACAACTACAGTAAACAACAATGTACTGGGGGTCTTTGGGGAGAAGAAGGAAAAAAAAGATGGGCAACGGATGTTAGCTCAGATGCCAATCTTAAATTTAAAAAAAGAAGAATGGCGTCTGAGCTAACACCTGTTGCCCATCTTCCTTTTTCCTTCTTCTTCTTCCTCTCCCCACAGACAAGTAAACCAGTCCAACCCAGCAGGGCCAGAACCACGAGGAAAGGAGGCTCAGGGGACTATGGGAGATGGAAGAGGCAACGGGCCAGTCCAGAAGCTTCAGAGCAGATTCTCAAGAGAAGGGACACTTGAGTGCGAACTGAAAGAACTGGAGATAGGCTGGTAACGCTCAAGGAGGGCAGTCAAGGCAGAGCAAAGGGCCTGAGCAGAAGCCTGGAGCTGGGAAAGCGAGGAATACAGTTGAGAAACCGTGTGGGTGGGCGCGCGTGGAGCAGAAAGTGCTCATGGGGACAGGGCTGAGAAGAAGGCAAGAAGAGGATTCTGATGAGCCTTGTAAATCAAACCCTTAGCCAAGAAAGGAGGAAAGTCAGACAGCCTTAGATAGATGACTGACATCATCGGGTTTATATTTTAGGAAAGAGAAAATGGGAAGAAAAAGGACTAGAAAGAGGGAGAAGAGAAGCAACAATGAATGGAGAAGGATGGATTAATTACAAATAGTGACGGAGTGCCAGACTCTGTCCTTGGCACCGGGAGGCCAGAGTGAACTGGGCAGAAACAACGCTGCCCTCATGGTCCTGGTGGGAAAGTGACATTCACAACGTGCTGGAAACCTGTAACCGCTGGTAACCGCGGGTGTCAGGGGAGGCTCTGAGGAGAAAAGGAGCTTTCGGCCGAGATCCAAAGGATGAGTAGGAGTTAGCTAACGAGAAAAGGGATGGAGAACTGTTCCAGGCATGGGAACAGCATCTGCCAAGTCCCTGAAGTGCAAAACTCTTGGCACAATCAAGAATTGAGGCCCCCAGTGTAGCTGGAGCTCAGAGGCCATGGACCACAAAGGCAATGGGGAGAGCTGGGAGGCAGCTTGGAGCCAAAACCCATGGCTGTGCTAAGGAGCTTGCATTTTATCTAGAGAAAGGAAGAGAAGAAACACAAAGAGGAAGAAGGGAAAGAGAGAACTGGAAGGCAAATTTCCTGAATTCAAGCCATTTGAGATCATATTGGCAGTTGAAAACGCCAGGATGGGATTTCAGAGCATTAAATGGCCTCGGGCCATCCTACCCAGCCAAGGGTGGTGTCACAGCTCCCCCAGCCAGCTCAGGGCCCTCCTCCCCATGGCAGGCTTCAGGCCTCGAGGGAGACCTTCAGAGATGAGTGGTTTGCCCCAAGGACCAGCGGCAAAGGGCTTGCCCCTCCCCCAGGCAGCAGCAGGAGACGCACTGCAGGTGGAAGCCATCAAAAAGAGAGTAGCACAGGGCTCTGAGACACCTGCGGGAGGGGCCGCCGGGGGCCCCTTGCTGGGAACTCCTCCAGCTGATGCTAAGGGAAGAAACCCGAGCTCTCTCTGGCAGGAGCCAGACGGGCCCTGGAAATGTTTTTCCCCTTTGGGGGCTTTTGCAAAATCTGTGATGGACTCAAGACTTGCAGAATTTAGAATTTTGTAGCCAAAATGTGTCTTCAGCATCTTTGAATCCCACCCCTAGCTTTAGAGAAGAGAAAACCAAAGCCAAAGAGGGAGAGTGACTTTCCCAAGGTCAGAAGGCAGGTCCCAGCAGAGCGAGCACTGCTGAGTAAGTCCCAAGACTGTCTGTTCAGGGCTTTTGCCAATAACAATCACAGTAACAGCAGCTAACATGTACTGAGCACTGACTATGGACTAGACTCTGTGCTAAGTGCTTTCAATGTTTTTACACACTTAATCTGTGCCACTACCCCAGTCAGACTGGTAATAGTATGATTCTCCTTTTACAGATGAAGGCACAGAGAGTTTAAGTAACTCTCCCAAGGTGGCACAGCTGGCAGAGTTAGACTCGGGCAGCTGCACTTTTAAAGACCACTCGGAATGCAGACAGATGACCCAACCCCTCAGCTCCAACCCACCTCCCCCAAAAGGCAGAATCTCTTCACTAATGCGGACCCCCCCTTTGTAAAATTTGGGTTGTTTTGGACCTGAGTGGGTTCACCTATCGTCTTCCACCCCTGCCCTCCCTTGGTCTGGAACAGCCAGTGGTCTGCAATGATAATACACCAGGGCAGCATACCAGCACTTTCTCCTCTATGCTAAACAAATGTTCCCATCACCAATGACCTCAAGATAGAAACAACAAGGTCACATGTCATTATGTCAGCGGGGCCCCACGCCCCTTCCACCACTACCCCCTTTCTGTACCAGGCTTTCCATCCCTGCTGGCTGATTTATATGGATTACATCACTGGGCATCCTTGTCCTCTGGCCAGTGGGAACAATGGGAAATACGACCAGGAGATTAGAGGAAGGGAGAAAAGCGAGGGTGGGGTGTTTATCCCCCAGCTGCCTCTCTTTGCCGTCACCACAGGCTGGCTGAATCCCTCACCCGCAGGCCCCGCTGCTGTAAGGGACCCTGCCATGCAGCCCTCCCTTCCTCTGGCTCAGCCACCACCCCACCCCTCACGGCTTCAGGGCTGGGGGTAGTAGGGAAGCCTGTCTGTTATTCGCTCCAGGCTTCTGCGCCTCCCTTGTGATTTCCCGGCGTGCCATTCTGCCATGAAGAGTTCTTTGATCAACTTCTCGGTGAACTTTGATCAACTTCTAATTTGAGTGTGCCCTCCGTTTCCTGACTGATGCACAGGCTATTCCTGACCTTCTGGATCGTGCACTCTGCCACAACCCAGGTGAGCTGGGACCGACATAGTGCTGCTGGGCGCTCACTGGTGGTGTCCCTCCTAAAAAGCTAACCAGGATCCCCGTGCTAGTCAACTGACTTCAGGGTCATCGTTAGGGCTGATTCTAAAGCCTGCAGCCTAGTCTCCAGAGCTGTTAGCCTCGGTCACTGACAGTTTCCGCAAACACAGCCTGAGTGACCACTCAGTCACGAAAGCCCGGTGGTGCACAAGTGTTCTCTCATCCTGATGGGGACCCTGCCAGGTTTGCGGCATCCCCCCATTTTCAGAGGAGAACCTGGGGCCCAAAGAGACGGAGATCAGTGCTCTGGTTGGTGAGGCTCTTTTCCCGCCGACCTGCTCCCCTCTGGCACACCCACCCTGACGGCCACCCTTCCTTCCTCCTGGCACTGCTTTCCTGCCCCATCTTTCTCACTGTGGCCTTTCTTTCTTTCTTTCTTTTTTAATTCTTCTTCCCAAAGCCCCCATACATAGTTGTATATTGTAGTTGTGGGTCCTTCTGGTTGTGCTATGTGGGATGCCTCCACAGCATGGCCTGATGAGCAGCACCATGTCCACACCCAGAAGCCAAACCAGAAAAAACCTGGGCCGCCAAAGCGGGCACGCGAACTTAACCACTCGGCCACAGGGCCAGCCCCTCACTGAGGCCTTTCATCTCCTCGTGTCTCTCACTAACCCACAGCTCGTGCCCTTCCTTCCCTTTCACGTCCTTTAAGAGTAGGTTCTAAGAACTCATTGATAATGTCAACAAATGACCAACACTTGCATTAGTCCTTTGCAATTTAAAACTAACTTCACGTTGATTGCTTGGTTTATCCTGAGGTTAACAGAAGCCCATAATGGTGTCGTCCTAACCCAAGACTTACCCTTCCCTCTTGTGATTGCTTGTTTCATTGTCTTCCTTGTGAAGCGGAGTCTCTGGGAGTGTGGGGCTGCTTCTGCCTTGCTCATCACTGTAGCCCCAGTGCTAAAATGCAGTGCCTGTTGTCTGGTAGACCCCCAGTAGATAGGTATTGAGCAAACCAGCCAGGCCTGCAGCTGGTTGAACAGGGAGCCTGAGAAAGCAGGAGGAGTCCAGGGTGGGGGAGGATCCCTCCTCTGGTGAAAGGCACCACTGGCCACCCGGTTGCTTCAGGAAAAGCAGACGTAGAGCTAGGAAGGGAATCACGGTGGCGAAAGGACCCAATCAAGCTTCGCTGTGGCTCCTCCAAACTGCTGACAGGAAGAGCAGTGCCCAAGTGATGCTTCCAAGAGGGCTGGGAGAAGTCCTTTGGGTGATTTTTACTGAATCTGGTCATTCTGCAGCCTATAACACTGAATCTGATAGGTCTACAATATTTTATTGCCAGAAAATCATCTGTGACAACTTAGGCAAGTTAGGGGACTATTTGGCCTCAAATCAACCTAAAAAAAACAGTTTCATAGAAGTTTCAAGAAGGAAACAAAAAATGAGCCCCATTGAAGCAAATGTTTTTGACCCAGGTCAGACTCTGGAAACAAAATCACATGAATGTTCAGACGTGTTGGAAAATTAGCTTAAAAGAGCATTCACCACACCTTCCAAATGCCTTCTTCTTTGGGGGACTTTAATTAAAAGGTCAGAGGAGCTCTGGCACAAAGGATGACAAATGGGAAGGGATCATCTTAGAGAAGCCATTGGCACAGAAACAGAGAAATCTGGGCTGGCTCGGACGCTCAACATTTATTAAAATTCCCAAAGTGTGAACTCACGCCTGAGTCAGACGGTCAGTGGGCTTCCTGGAGAGAGCAGTGGGGCCCATAATGAATTCTGCAGCCAGAGGCCTTGCCACCAACTCCAAGACTGGGGCTGAGACAGGGAAGGTGGAAAACCAAAGCTTAGATATGGAGCCTTAGGAGAGCAAGGTCCTAATGCAGAATAGAATTTGCCTTGGTGGGCCCATCCTGGCTTAGGTGGGCTCGGAAAGGGGGCTTGTTTGGGCCTCAGTCAACAGCTAGTCTGAGGGGAATGAAGTGGAGGCTGAAGAAACCGTCAAGGCATTGCATGGTTGTGTCCTAAGCAAGAAGGCAGACTTATTATGGGGAGCTGGGGGCACCTGAAAGACCTTCACGGGCCCCGCCCTGTCTGTCCATCCCATAAATGTCAGTGCTCCCCAGGATTCAGTCTTGGCTCCCTTCTCTGTTACTCCTCTTCAGCTCCAACCTCGCTCATGAGACCCAGACTCATATTGCAATCTGCCTACTAGACTTCTCCTACTGGGTGTCTCAGTGGTCCTTCAAAAGCAAGAGTCCCCAAACCAAACTCATCTTCCTGCCTACCCTACAAACTGCTCATCCCCTGAGCCCCGACTATGAGTGAGGACAAAACCATCCACTCAGACACCTAAGCCAAAAACTTGTGATTGGCCTCAACTTTTCCCTTCCCACTAGTCACCAATTCTGGTTCTGTCTCTTAAATGGGTCTCAAAGCCAGCATCCCTTACCGCTCCTTACCGAGAATACTTCAGATGCATGCAGGCGCTGCCGTGCAGATCCTGCGGTAGGTCCAGCCAACTTACAGTAGCTCAGAGCCTCTGGATGGCTCTGTCAGCTTCACCTCCTGCTGAAGTGCAAAGGCCCTTCCCCAGCCTTGAATCCTAAAACCAAGCAACAAAGCCAGCGCTTACAGGACCCAAGATCTTGGCTCTTTGCCCTAGGGCTCCTTGTTTCTCCTTCAGCTGAGGCTCCTGACTCGGCCTTGGCTGGGAGCCCCAGCGCCCTTCCACTTACTCTGCCCAGATTCCTCAGACACCTGCTTGCCTCTTACTCGTCATCCTCGCTATCTCCCACCTCCCACTCTGAGTTGCTGTGCAGAGCCTCTCCTGAATGAGCCTCCAAGCCTTCTCTATGTCCTCCTAGCCCTCTGGATGTCCCCGTCACCACATTCGCCTCACTGTACTGAATTTTCCTGCTCACTTGTATAAGTGGCTCCCTGGGAAGGGCTGCTTAAAATGAGGTCAGTTTCCGTTATATCCAGAAATGGAGGCAGCAAGTCACTTTAGAGCAAATCACGTGAGTACTTAAATCAGTAGTTTAACACATTAAAATCTGTTTCTCCCTTACGCCACAACCCAGCCATAGTAGGGAGCTTGCTCTGTGCGTTATTCAGTGGCCAGACTCCTTCCACGTGGGTCCTCGGAGTCCTCTCCATACAGCAGGTGGGCGAGGAAAGAGCAAAGATGACACGTGGGCCAGTTCTAGAAGCAGTATACTCACTTCCATCCACATTCTCTTGGCCACGCCTGGCCTCAGGGGAGTCTGGAAACGTAGTTGAGCTCCATGCCCAGGACGAAGAAAAGAACATGAATGTTGGTGAGCGCCAGCATCTTCTGCCATGCGTGGCAATGTTTCCCAGGCCAGATTCTGTCCGTTTGATTAGTCACCAAGTTTCCTCTTGGGAAGGAGAATCATCCCCGCTTGGAGAAACCTGGGCAGCAGCAGCAAGAAAAATCAAAGGAGAGGCCCCTTCAGACTCCCTCCGCCGCAGCCACTACACCGGCTCCCCTCTCCAGACACCCGGCAGCCACCAGACTGTCCCAGGGCAAGCCATCGACCACGGACGGTGGGCGCCTCCTGCCTTAGAGAGTGGGTTTGACTCCGGGTTTTTTGTGATGGCCTAGGAGGCAGCAGGACCAGGGTCACCCACAAAGAGTAGTGAGTATCCGGGGAGTCCAACACAGCTAGTTTAGTGGAGGAGAAGGAATGGGCTTCTTTTTTTTTTTTTTGAGGAAGATTATCCCTGAGCTAACATCCGCCACCAATCCTCCTCTTTTTTGCTGAGGAAGATTGGCCCTGAGCTAACATCCGTGCCTGTCTTCCTCTATTTTATATGTGGGACGACTGCCACAGCATGGCTTGACAAGCGGCGTGTAGGTCCTCACCTGGGATCTGAACCCATGAACCCTGGGCCGCCGAAGCAGAGCACGCAAACTCAACTGCTATGCCATGAGGCCGGCCCAGAATGGGCTTCGTTTTACTAAGAGCAGGAAGGAGCTAGAGAGAACACCACAGTGGAGGGTTGTATCTGCAGCCGAAACTGTAAAGTCGGACCCTTTAATTTCATTAGTTGGTCTTTTCTGCTAAATTCTGAGCTACTCAGAGGCAGAATCTCTGTGTTCTCTATCCCGTAGCCCCAGGGCTGGGGGCAGAATCTGGCATGGAGCAGGCGTGACTCCAGCCCCTCCCTGGACCACACCACCCCAGAAGCAGCTCTGAGAAAACTGGCTCCCGTTAGCTAGGACAGCCAGTCCTCGAGGACAGGCCCTGGGCCACCCAGGCAAGACCAGGCCCATCTTCTGGGAGGCACCAAAGGACATCACTCTAGAAGTGTCACTAAATTCGGTCCCTTTAGTTGTTGCCTGCTAAGTATGTACAGAAACCAGACTCATTAGCCAAAATACAGGTTGGAACATGATGAGAGCTTACATATTTCTGCATGAAGGGGAGAGATATTTAGGAAGCCCCAGATTGGGCATGTCTCACTTATTGAGTCACCTAAGGTCGTGAGGACTGCATAAAGTAGGTATTTGGAGGCACTTTCTGCAAGTTGGAGAACAGAGGACTGCAAACATGGGTAATTTTCATGGATGTTCTCATTTCTCTGCTTTGGCCAGGGTTTACTACGATAATCCACTGGACAAAGTGTCCACTTGTCCAGAATTGAACAGGCTCTAAGTTCAATCTTCTTGCCAACCAGGGGCTCCGTTGTGGCAAGAACAATGTGACACGGGCCCAGCTGCTGCTACTTCCAGACCCTGGAAACCACCACTGGTGCCACCGTGGCCCCCACTGGACACGAGGCACAAAGCAGGCACCACTGGCACCAGAATAAACTCTAACTTGCCCCCGAGTTACTCTCTCCAGATTTAGAGCATTTAAAGTTTCATTTTCTGGAAATTTTACTAGGTGGAAAATTCCCGCCTGAGCAGGAACTGGAGGAGAAAAAGGCTAACAGGGGAGATGATTCAAACGCACCAATTAGTGCCAGGAGAGACACGGCCGTCCTTACCCAGCCCACAGATCAATAGCAGACATTTATACTCAATGCCCTCTTTAATGAATGTGACAAACAACCTTTTCAAGCCGTGAACTGTACGAGTTCCCAGCAGATGCAGGTAGTACACGAAATCTGTAATGGGGGTGGGGAGCAAATGAAGGGGTTCTTCTCAAAGATGCCAGCAGAGTTTAAGGAAACCAACAAGGGACAGTGCAGTGCCCTGGGGTTAGCAGCAGCCAGGCTGCCTAGAACTTAGCCAACTCATGGTGTCCTGTCTGGGAGATGGCCTGCCATGTCACTCTCCTCCTATTGCAATCTCTTGCTGGTGCCAACCATTGGCTGAACACAGCCAGAAGCTGGAGGGCAATGGAAACCATAGAAGCAGTCTGTTAAGGTTGATTTCCCAGGGCACAGAGCAAGGTAGAGAAGAGAATGGAGATGGCAGGACAAATGACAGATAACCAGCCTACAGCCCCCCTGCTAAACAGCACACCGTGGGGGGTTCCTAAAGATTGCTCCCTGTCATACCTGACTTGATAGTGGTTCCAATTCAGTTTCACCCCATCTCACTTTTGCAGGGGGAAGAAGGGGGACAGTACGGTGACGTTTGTCCAAGAGACATCCTCTCAGTGTTCCTACCTATAGATTTCGGACAATACCTTTCATTTCCCAGGGCTGCTGTGTGACAATTCAACTAGCTCGTGTACACACCCCATCCTTCTGAAGCGTAAAGCAATACACAGATACGCCCGACAGGATCTGGTGGGGGTAGAAGGGTCACCGATATGAAGCTGCACCTCCAGTGAAGGACCATCCGGGCACATCTCGACCAGGCCACTCAAGTCTCCTCACGTTTACAGCATGTCACATCACATCACTCCTCAACCAAAGGTCCAGGCAAGCTCCAGGACCCCTCACAGCCACCTGCACTCTGACACGTGAAGCCAGCAAGGAGGCCAGGCCAGGCCCCTGGAGCATCAGTGATGACTGCCGGTGTGTGCAGTCGGGAAGTGGGTCCCTTGTCAGCATGACTAATGAGCTGGACATGCGTGAACGTCATCCACGGGGTTGTTTCAGGAACACTCTTCTCTCCAGAGAAGCCCCGTGGGAGCATTTAAATCCACAGCTTTATTTAGGGGCATATGAAGCAAGTTGGTGATGCCAAAGAGTACGTTCCTCAGGAAATAGCCCTATAGAGGCCACTGGCCAGAGAGGGATGCAAGTGTCGAGCCAGCCAAATGCTGTCCCTCTGCATCCTCATAGGACCTACGCCAAAATCGCCACAAGAACAGCTCCAGAATTTACAGGGCCAAAGGAGGCTCTTAAATGATTTTTATTTTCTTTTTAAGAAAAATTGGAAGGCCCTGCCACCACGAACATGGAGACTTTGTACCAAGTCCCGCTTTTAGTGCCCAAATGCCCCAACCTCGGTGCACGTGCCGTCAGCCGTGACAGTGACACACTAGCAGTGACGTCTTACTTCCTCATCACCAGAGGAATAATTTATGGGGTTGTTATCGAACCTCCAAGTGTTGGCTCTGTGACTGATGAACATGGCCTCAGAGACCAGCAGCTTTCTCGGCCTACGGAGTAAATGGACACTGTATTACGGAAGGACTTGCGTCCAGCTTCCCGTTTACAAGGGGCGCTTCAGGTTTCATAATCCCGGACTGGTCCAACGCACCCAACATTCCAAGACTCAGTAGATTGCTTTCTATTTTTTGGATTCACTGGTGTCCTACCGAGTTTTTCATGGATCGAATATTCATGAGCATGAAGCTGCCGGGCTATCTGATGGCTTAGCGCGCTTTTTGAGAAGAAACCAGTAGATACTGGATTTGCTCCAGTTAATGAAGTTTTAAAGCCTGAACCATTCCTCTGATATGAAATGTGGAAAAGGGTGAAAAGCACCAGAAAAAAAAGAAGCATCTACTGAAAACACAGGAAGCGTGTTAACGCTTTGGCTAGAATGTCTTCTTGGTATCAGAGAGACAAGCTTACCGCATATTTTTTCCTGCGACCTATACTGATGTACTGACAACATTAAGTGGCATTTTCTTCTTAGTTTTTCATTTCTTAAAGGGAATATACTTCATTTCATTTCTACAACTATAATATTGAATGAAGCGATTATTTTTTACAACCCCGTGAACATTTTGGAGCTGACATTTGTGACTTTCAGAAATCAATGTAAAATCAGGAAGCAAGATCCCATAAGCTGAGAACTCTGGACCTCACACCTGCATTACCTATGGTGCTCCGCCTTCAGAGTATGTGGCAGTACACCGTATCAGGTACGTCTGTAAGACTGTTTCCTGGTCAATAAGACGTATGAAAGGAGCAGAAATAAATAACCTTTCTAATTAAAAAAAAAAGAAATTGGAGGGGTGTGGCAGGCCAGCAATACCCTTTCAGAGGGCAAGGCAGCACGGGAGCCCACAGAAATGGCAGTGAAGCGTCACCACGCGTGTGCCCACTTAACTTACAAGTAAAATTTCTGTTTTACTCAGGAAGAGGGGTGAGTTTCTGCTCTTCTGCTCTTCTTTCCCATCTGGTGTCTCGCTGCTGCCCACAAGATTATGCGCAAGGCTTCTTATCTGACCTCTCAGAGCCTCTCAACCAGCCCAGCCTACGTTTACAAGTTTATTTTCCAATACTACACCGCAAGGACTCCCAATTCTGACATGTGGTGGTCAGAGGCGCAGTCTTCAGAGCTGACACACCAGATTTCTAATCCGGGCCCCGTCCCTCCCTAAACTGTGTGACTGTGAGCAAGGGGTCAGCCTCCCTGACTCAGGTTCCACATCCTAAAAATAATAGCATTTGCCACAAATTTAATGCGGTTTTGCACATAAAGCCCTTAACACGTTGCCTGACCCAAAGTAAAAACTCACTAAATAGCAGCTGACACCAAACCAACCTCCTGGCTGTGCCATGTCCTTCACCCCAGAATCCTGCCTGCCCAGCCCCCACGGGTGCAAGCCCGCCCCATCTCCAGCTGCTCCAAGCACACACGTGTCTCCCCTGGCCTTGCCCTCCACGCCTCCCCCAGCACGCCAGGCAGCCACTCTCGCCCTGACCACGCCGCCACCACAAGAAGTCCTGCTGGGTTCTGCATCCAGAGACCCCGGTTCAAATCCCAGCGTCTGCAGTGGTTTGCTGCCTGACTGTCCCCGGTTGCTCAACTCTCTGGACTTCCGTTCCTCTTCTCCAAAATAGGGTGAATACTCCCTCCCACTTGTGGAAAGTCAACAGGATGATATATGTGAAAGGACTTTGTAAACTCTGAAATGCCATGGAGTGTTAAAAAAAAAAAAAAACTATTAACTTTTAGGGCAATAGTAATACTAAACCATAAAACTCATTTTTTTATGATCTGGTTCTGCATTTATGGTCTATAACGTTTCCGCTGGAAAATCCAGCGTACTGATTCAATTATCCAGACTGCTCCACTCCACTCGCACTGATAAGCAGAATTTCTATGGACTCCCTATTCCTCCCCCAGGCTCCCTGCTGAAATGTGAAGAAATAATTGATGTTTAATTTATGCTGCAGTTCAGACCACTCCTCACATGCAAGGGGCTTTATGGTTTACAAACCGTTCATACATCCCGGGACCTAAGGACGCCACAGTTGCCCTGAAGAGCCAACCAGAGTTCCCTGCATCCGCCCAGGTCACTGCTCCCCCTCCAAACCCGGAGGGCCCAGAACTCATGATTACCTGAAAACCTGAGCGCAGCCAGCCTCCACCGCAGAAGGCCACACACCCGTGGAAAACGGGCATCTTTGATGCCCCGTCATGCGTAAAAAGTCAAGCCAGCGTTCTGTAACCTGAGACTAAAAGAATTGCTCCTTTTGTTTTAGTTCTTGCAAAGTGCAAATCCAGCCATTGTCCTTTCCTCTCCAGCTTACGGCCTTGAAACACACTCAGATCCCAATTTACCAACTCACGTCGCCAGTCAAGAGCTCTATGTGTCCTGGGCCACGGTGTTTCTTTCATTTCAGTCTTCTTGGCTGACATTTCCTAGGCAACACCTAGCTCACCATGCTTGAACTATCCACTTTCTTTGAGGTGGGGAGGCTCTCTGGGGGAAGCAGTTTGATCTGTCAGCACAAAAAGATGATCAGCTTGTTGAGTGCCACACAGCAGAACGGCTGGCATTAGAACCCACGGTTGTTAACGTTCTGGGAGGCCTCGATGATTTCTATTTAGACAGCAGGAATCCTGCCAACGTAAGAAAGAGGATATTTAAATAGTTAAGTCTGATTGGCGGTCTTGGGAGCTGGACTGGAAGTGAGAGAAATCGTTAGTCCCACTTCTGTCCCTAGTTCATTGTGTAACCATGAGTAAGTCAGTTCTCTCTCTGAGGTTTGTTCCTTTTTTGGTTAAGTGAGAGGGTGGGATTGGACAGGTACGGCAAGTCCGTGCCACACACACTCGCCCACCCTGAGCCCCAGCAGACATCACTAATCAATCCCAACCCCCTTTCCCAGTGAGTAGGACACAACGCAGAGCTTCAGGCCAGAGCTGGCAAGTGAAGTAAATACAATCCAGTTGCCGTGCCTGAGCTAGATAATTTCTAAGCATTTTTACCAGTTTCGACGTTGTGTGATCTAGGAGGGAGAAAAGCACCAAAGCAGAAGTGGAGAAACCTGGGGCCTAGTCACCACCCACCATGGGCTTTCAGTGCCACTGAGAAGGTGACGCAGAATCTGGGCCCCTGTCTCCTCATCTGTAAAGGGAGAGTAGCAATTTTATTATTCTTGTTTTCAAGATCTTTGTGAAGATAAAAATTAAAATGAAAAACCTGTGAAAGAGCTTTCTAAACGGCAAGTCCTGTAGTAATCGTGGCCCAGTAACACTCACCAAGCACCCAGCGGTCAACTTGGGTTGATTTCTTGTCTCAGTCAATTCTCACAGCAGCCTATAAAGGTGGGTTTCTGGCAGTTTCAACCAAAGAAGATCAGATTAATGCAGAGTGTGAACTCCTCCAGAACAACATTTTGGAAGGTGAAGTGTAGCTGTTGGACTGACCTAACCGTGGTTTCGAATCCTAAGCACAGCTGAGGGTGTGATGCATGGACTTTCACCTCATGGTCCCAAGATGGCTGCTACAGCTCTGGACATCACCTTCTCACAGTGTTCCCAAAGTAAGAATTCAAAGGGGTGGAGGAGGCAGTGAGGGAGAGCTCTGGTTGAATCCTTCTCTGCTTTTATCAAGGACAGAGACTCTTTCCCCTGCTGACTTCTTTCTGACTCTTTGGGTCACCTGGTCATCCCTGAGTACAAAGGAGGCTGAGAATATGAGTACCTGGGAAGAAGGCAAGGGAGGAGGGGCTTAGGAATGGCCACGAGGTAGCCAAGCGATCCCATCAGCCATAGAAGCATTTCAGGTCTCCTTCACATATTAGTTTCACATTGCTGCTGTAACAAATTGCTGCAAACTTAGTGGTTGAAACAACATAAATTTATTATCTTACAGATCCAGAGGTCAGAAGTCCAAAATGGGTTTCAGTGGGCTGAAATCAAGGTGTCAGCAGGGCTGCTTCCTTCTGGGAGCTTTAGGGGAAAACGCGTTTGCAGGCTGCCTTCATCCTGTGACTTAAAATTGGCCCCTTACTCCATCTTCAAAGCCAGCAGCATGGCATCTTCGAATCTCTCTCTGCCTCCGCCTCCTGCCTCCATCCTCACATCTCCTTCTCTCATCTAACTTTCTGCTCCCTCTTCCAGCTTTTAAGGATGCTTGTGATTACATTGGATCCACTAGGATAATCCAGCATAATCTCCTTATCTCAAGATTATTAACTTAATCACATCTGCAAAGTCCCCTTTGCCATGTAACGTAACCTAGTCACAGGTGGACGTGGACGGCTTCGGGGGTCATCACTCAGCCTCCCACACCTCACGTGATTCCTTGCAAACCTCTTCTTCCTCAACACAGACCTACTGCTCCTGGAGGAAGGCTGAACACAAAACGAAGCTACAGACTCCCCAGAAACGCCATACATCTGCCTGCTTCAACGTCGACCGTTAGCAATCGGAAGAGCCACAGGAAGGCTAGTTCAGGCCACGTCCATCTGGGCAAGCTCTCTACCGAGTTCTTGAGAGAACATACACAAAGCAAATTTGAAAACAGAGAGACGTGCCATTCCTGGGTTGAGGGATAGTCTTTAGACTATCCAACAGCACCCCCCAGAGCCACGACGCAGGAAGAGGGAAGGAGAGCTCGCAGTTGGCCCAAGAATCAGAATACCTGGGCCAACAGCTCTCAGCTTTGTGGGCTCGGATCACGAGGTGCAGCCGCCCAGGCCCAACCTCAGAGACACAAGTGATGCAAGGCTGGACCCAGGCAGGAGAAGCTGTTTTATGTCCTAAGTGACTGTTCCACTAGAACCACTGAGTTCAGCATAGCCACAAATAACAGTCTGAAAGCCTGCTAGGCCCTGGGGGTTCAAACATAAATACGATAAAGCTCCTCCTCTCAAACAGCTTCCAGTCTGGATAGATTACAAGCTGGAAGAGACGTTGGCCACAGCTAACAACTGTGTTACGCTGGGCAAATTACTTAACCTCTCTGGGCCAGATTCCTCATCTGTAAAATGAGGATAACAGTAGTCCTTGACATATGAGGCTGTTAAGAGAGTTAAATGATACAATTTACCTAAAGCATTTAGTATGGTGTCTGGTACAAAATAAGCACACAACAAGTGTTGGGGGCATTCCTACCAAGTCCCAGGGATAGAAAATGCATGGCCCACATGCCACCACTCCCCTGTCACTCGAGGTAGACACCTCTGATTGACCTGAACGCTCTTTCCTGCTGAATCTGGACAAAGCTTGTAAATTCTTCTCAATCTAGTCCTCCTGGAGGGGTGGGCGGAAATCCAGTTTGCCTGCAAACTCCCTCTGCATTTTCATTTAAGGAAACAGACCCAGGAAGCCAAGCTCACTGGATAAGCCTATGCAGAGATGGGAGGAAGGTCCCAACCCCCGGGCCAGGCGCTCTGCCCGCGCCCTCTCTGCACTCGTCAGCTAAATCAGCTCTCATCAGTTAGGTCAGCTCCACCTCAGCCGCCCGGGCTGTACTCACAGGCTCCTTCCGCTCAGGGTTCCTGGCTATTCTTGTCCTCTCCACCTGCTGCCTCCTGGGTGTTCTGTGGCTGCAGCATGACCCAGAGTCCCTTTGTGGGCCAGACGCCCAAGGTGACATTGTAAAAACTCACACCTAGGGATGAAAACCACTCACACTAACAGAGCCCTGCACTTGCCTTTTGCTAATTGCATGGTCATGTCTGATGGCTCCTACAGTATCTCAGTATCTCAGATAGCTCCATGTCCGTCTGCCGGCGGGGGGTCATCCCCGGTGTGTAGAGAAGGAAACTGAGACTTCAAGAAGTTTAGTATCTCACCCAAAGTAAGACTATTAAGAGGGAAGGGAAGCTTCAAACCCAAGCCTCACACCAACCAGCTTTCCGTCGCGGTGTAGCTTTCAGCTTTACACATCCATAGATTCCTGAAGCAGGCCCATTAGGCTTTGCCCAGGTTTCCCTCTGTCCTGACCTTTACTAGATTACATTGAACCCATCCTGCCCACTTAAGTGTCTCCCCCATAAGACTGAGGTCCTTCAGCCACTGCTCCCTGGAACACACACACATACATACACCTTTCTCTACCTGCATGCTGCTCATCCTTCCGTTTTATGTTTATAAGTCACTCCTCCTCCAGGCAGCCTACCTAGACTCTCAGGTGTCCCTGCCATATGCACCAGTATCAATCTGTATTTCCCGTGTCTCAGAACTCATCAAACTATGCAGAATATGTTCTCTGATTACAGTACAATTAATCGAGAAGTCGCTATAATACGTGAAAATTAAGAAACACTGTAACAAATACTGCATGATCTCACGTATATGTGGAATCTAAAGTAGTCAACCTCGCAGTAACAGAGAGTAGGATGGTGGTTACCATGGGCTGGGCAGGGGCGGGGGGATGAGGAAATGCTGGTCAGAGGGTAGAAACTTTCAGTTATACGATGAATAAGTTCCGGAGACCTGGTGTACAGCACGGTGACTATAGTTAAAAAATACTGAATTCTGTGTTTGAAACTTGCCAAGAGAGTAGATGTCAAGCGTTCTCACCACACACAAAAAAACGGTAACTATGTGAAGTGATGAGTATGTTAATTAGCTGGATGGTAGTAATCATTTCACAATATACACGTATATCAAAACATCATGTTGTACACGTTAAATATATGCAACTTTTATTTGTCAATTATACCTCAATAAAGCTGGAGGGGAGGAAGAAACAGTAAATTATGCTTACTAACCACAGCTACCATTTATTGAGATTTGTGCCCGGCACTCGCTGTGCTAAGCACTTGCTGTGTGCACACGTACATAGATAGAACCTCCTCGAATGATTGCTCCAAGCCTCCTAGGTGATTATTGTCACTTTCCTCGTTTTATGGGAAGTAGTTGGGGGCTGGCAGAGAAGGAGCCTCAGAAAGGTTAAGTGATCTGAGCAAAGCTACGCAGACAGACATGTGGCAAAACCAGAATTTGGACCCAGGTCTATCTCCGGAGGCCCCCTGTGGACCACCACGCTGTACTGCCCGATGCAGCGCGACTTACACTCACAGCTTTGCACAAGAGCCAGTGGCCCCTTGAGAACTAGCTCAACCTGGAAAGTGGCTCCCCTTTCCTCCTCCTCTTACTGTGAGTTCAAATAATAGAAAAGTTACCCGACTGGGCACGGTTAAGCCATCAGAAGTCACCAATAAATAGCAAAGTATTCCCAAAAGTTGATCCAAAAGAGATCACATGTTGGAGATGGTGAAAGAAAGGAGCTTGGGGGCTTGCTCCCAGTCCCAAAACTCCAGAAGGCACTGTTGAGGCAAATAAAGTAATAGCCAGCCCCTCAGACTGTATATATACACATGCACCTCCCACCAGAACCTGAGCTCTCTGAGAAAAGAGATGGTCTTGTTCCTTGCTGTCCCTCCAGAACCGGGGACAGTGCCTGGCACAGAGAAGATGCTCAGGAAAAACCACTCTTGAGTGAAGGAATGGACTCACGTTAACCCAGAGAGTGGCGAACACGGGTGGCAGTAGAGATCACGGGTAAGCCAAAATAAAGTTCTCCAAATATGGCACAAAAATTTCTTTAATGTAAATTTAAATGGTCAAAATTACATCCACTTTTTAGTAACACATTTATCCTTTTTTCTTATATCTTCCTTAACAAAAATAATAAAAATTCTATAATATAAAATACACTGATAATTAAGGCATGATACTCTTCCTTTTACATCATCCCTAACAATAATAATAATATATAAAATATGCTAATAATTAATGCACAATATATCACGTAAAGTGATGAAAAACAGTGACAGATTGCTACTATCTTTGTGAACGGGCCAGTGATAGTCCATGGAGCGAAAGGGGACAGAGGAGCGGGTGGTAGGAAGCCGCAGCCAGGAGGACGCTCAGAGGAAGGGACTGAGAGAAGTCTTGGGACACAAGATAAAAGGAGGCTGAAGCCAGAGGGGGCGTTTCCAGGAGGGGGCGAGTCAGAGGAGACTGAGGTCGCCTCCGTGTCTCGGCTGTTGTAAATGGTGCCACAGTGACCGTCGGGTGCAAATGCCCTCAGGGATGTGTGTTTTCATATTCTTTGGATAAATGAATTTTTGGTAGAGAGCACACTGTAGTATATACAGGAGTTGAATTATGATGTTGTTTCCTTGAAACTTATATAATGTTATAACCAGTGTTACCTCAATTCTTAAAAAAAGGAAAAAAGAAGAGGTTTAGGAGGGTCATCCGGGAGGCGGGCCGGTGGGGCGTCCTCAGCAGGTCAGCTGGACGCACACACTTTGCTCCCTCACCCCACACCCCGGCCCCTCTGCTCTGCTGTCTCTGCCTCCAGGGGTCTAATTTGTGGTCTTTGATTTTTTTCCTAAATGCTCTGCCTTATTTTTAATCATGGTTATTCTGCAAAGCAATTAATCCACTCCATCTTCTCATCATGGAGATCTAATTCTAAACAAATTAACAAACTCTTAAAATAAGAACGCACAGGAACTAGGAGGAGGTCTTTGCCAAAGCCTGTTAGAGCAAAGGAGATGGCTATCTTCTGAGGCTGTGAGGCGCAGCCTCTCCTGCGCTGGACTAAACCCGCTCTTGAAGCCCCGTTCAGTTCTGACAGTAGGTGACAAGGAAGAACATGCTGCAGGGGCCATAAGGTGATGCTTCGGCTGTGGTCACAGCTGTGCCCACATCCACAAGAGGGCAGTGCTGCATGCGGTCAGAACCAAGCTCTCACGCTGGGTTCAGCAGCAGGGGCAGCAATGTCAGGTCCAGAGGAGAGAGCCGTGGGTCAACACACCCACTCCATACACACACACAAACACGCGTACACACGCGCACACACACGTCACAGGTGGGGCACGGAGGCCCAGGGAGAAGGACTTACCGACGGTCTCGTGAAAACACGTTGCACAGCCAGACCTCTTCCCCACGTCAGCAGCTCCCGTGGAGTTCCCATTCATGGAACGAGGGTCCCACCCAGGCCCAGTGACTAGAATCTCCAGGTGGGGCCCAGGCATCAGTGGCTTTTAAAGCATCCCACAGTGAAGAAGTCCTACTTGTTCTACCTCTCACACAAGGATGCAAAAGAAAGAAAAATGTGACTCTTCTACACTTTAACAGGTGTCGTGACACTAAATGGAAAAAGGGCAAGAAAATAGGCAATATTACGAGAAAATGTATATGAAACAGCATATAAGTCAAGCTCCCAGCAGAAAACAGATGTCTCACTCAAGTTGGGTAACTTGGGCGAGTTAATAAAGGAATTGCAAAAATATAGTCATGTGGAGAAACCACAAGCAACAGTGGATCGGTATCTACAGGGACATCGATGCCCAGATGAAAGCCGAGGGGGAGAGGTTAACAGACCCTGGAGACAAAGCAGAAGGGCTGCCTGCCAGGGAGCTGCAGCCCTCCCTGGAGGGAGGCGGCCGGGGGAGAAGTACCCCAAACCCACTCTCCTCCACCCTCGGAGCTCCCGCCAGAGCCTCTCTTGGGCCAAACGAACCAGAAGCTGAAAGGCAAGGAAGCCACTGAGAGAGTCCCTGGAAGTTAGTTTCCAGGGTGGAGGAGCAGGGTGGAGGGGATGGAGAGCGGATCTGGAGGCAGGAGCAATCACCCGCCATTCAAGCATCGTCCCTTCAACAGAAGCCGAAGGAGCAGGGCTGTGCAGATACCGTGAGACGTAAGACCACTCGACTTCAAGCCTCCACGGATGAGGAAGCGACATCCTTTGCTAGTCTGAATGCAATCTAGGCAAAGTCACTTCTGGGAAAACAATAATCTGGTTCAGTTGGAAAAAAGAGGAATTCTTAAACACTCTAACTTCTTTTTTTTTTTTTTTTTTTAGTATAGTAATGAGCAACTTTTCTTCGAATTGGACAACAAGAAAAGTTTCCATTAAATTACAAGGCAATAGCGTTGGTAACTTCCTGGTTGGAACTATAGGATCTCCTTTCTGAGGCTTAGAGAAAAGTAAAATCCTTATATTTAGTATACAATAACTGCCTTTTCAAAGAAGTGTCATATATTATGTCATTTTTAAGGTAGTATCCTTATTTACCACCTCACAGATGAGAAAGCTCAAATACAGAGAAGTTGAACCATTCTCAAAAGGTCAGCAACAGAGCAGGGGGCAAAGGACAAGGCCCAGCCCACTGATGCCACCCCAGAACACCCAGATCCCCTGCACTGGGGGGTCTATCTGACCTGGAGGTGGGCTCAGGGGTTATGGTTAAGAACTCAGCAAAACTGAGTCCCAGCTCTAACATGACCTCGCTGGGTGACCTTGGGCCAGTCGCTTCCCTTCTTTGGGCCTCAGTTTCCCCAAACATAACATGAGAGATTTGGACTAGATTTGTAGTTTTCAAACTTCTTTAGCAGGAGAACGTTTTCAAATAAAATCTTACGTGGCAACCACCAACATCGCAGGCTCTGTAGCTCTGTTCTTGTCAAAACAGGCCTCCTTTTACCGTGCCACCAAAACCCCTGGGGCATTCAAGTGGCCTTTCAAATTCCTTGCAGGTCTGTGTGCCGTGAAATATTACTTCCACGAGACAGTAGTATAAGCATGTGGGGGGACCCCTTTCCTCCCAGATCCAAGGCCACACACTTGATCAGCAAAGTTCAACAGATTTCTTTGCTGCAGGAATTTTCAGAGCCTTTAATACACTAACATGTTTCGCCCCTTTCCAAGCTGGAGAGTTAATATGTAGTTGGGGAAACAGTCATCTAGACAAGTGTTTCTCAATCTTTTTTCCACGATCCACAGTCAGAAATACAACTTATATAATGACTCAACACACACATGCACGTGCATGCGCACACACACACACACGCGGAAACAAAAGGTTCACAAAGCAATATTTATCTTTACTGCACTCTAATACTGTCTAGTCTATTTCCTTTTGCAAATGTTTAAATTACGCATAGGAGTGCACATGAATGTGTCTGCAAGTGTCACTGGATCAGGATGCAAAATTTATTTCTCACTATAGGCTATAGTCAAAAATGTTTGAAAACTGCCATCTTGGCAACTCTCGGCTCTACAGCTCCAGCCGTGCAGGCTGCAGGCTGCTCATAGGTCTCAGAGACACAAATTAACTGATTCTTCTTAGGGCTAGAACATGGGAGCCTCTGTGCCTCTCCTCACAGCTGAGTTGGGCCAGAGAATGTGGACAGGATGGAGCGAAGAAAGCTGGCACTGCCCTTGTCTGGGAGGTCCAGGTCAGGAACAAAGACAGAGTTTGTTTCAAGGGCTGCCAATCCCGCCTCATTCACAGGCACTAAATTCATTCAGCCTCCGCCGCCCGCAGGCGTCCCCTCTCGCCCCCGGGGCCTGCCAGCACTGCTACAAGGGGTTAGTGTCAGATCTGGGCAGCTCTCCCTGCCTGATGTGACGGGCATTCAGGTCGCCTGTGAGAATCGGAAACGGAGCCGCTCTTGTCAGTTGAAAACAACATCCTTCCCCCACAGCCCCATGTGCTCCCAGCTCCACCCCCACCTTCAAGGGGACCCAGGAAGCAGACAGATCTTAGACGGGCATCCGTCGTGGGAAAGGGCGCTGGCTGGCCGGCTGCTGTGTGCACGTCCCAAGGTCATCCCTCTTCCGCTCTCCTTCCCTCAGCCAGTCTCCTCACCTCTTCCTCTGAAAGGGCTGCCTTTCCAGCGTCGGTCACCCTGGGCGACTGGACCGGGAGAGGAGGAAGGAAAGAGATGATATCCTACCTTGTACCAGGCAGCGGCGTGGGTGCCTTACATCGTAATCTTGTGGTGTCCCCTGTTTATACAGATGAGGAAAATGAGGCTTAGAGAGGTCGTCACTTAGGTCCGTCTGGTTCCTAGGTCCAAGACCTGCTAAGCCGTGGGAAGACGGAGGGAGCAAATCAAATCTGAGTGAGGCCAGGGCGGCCTCAGGCCTAGGCACAATGGCCAGCAGCTCACAGAATGAAGCCCCGAGGAATCCATGTGTGGGCAGCTGATTATAGGCACTCCGTGAGTCGTGAGCCACACTAGTGATGGGGACAACGGTGTAAGAGCACCCATTTTGCAACCACACAGACTCAGTTTTCTTTTTTCTTAATACTTTTTTTTAGAGCAGTTTTAGGTTCACAGCAAAATTGAGCAGAAAGTACAAAGTTCCCACATACCCCTGCCTCCTCAACACATCCACGCCCAGCACAGCCACAGCACACTCCACCCCTTTTATAACACCCTGCACCAGAGTGGTATATTTGTTACAATGATAAACCTAAATTGACACATGGTTATCACCCAAAGTCCGTAGTTGACATTGTTTTACTCTTTGTGTTGTACAGTCCGTGGGTTTTGACAAACATGTAATGACATGTATCCACCGTTATCGTTTCATACAGAGTAGTGTCACTGCCCTAAAAATCCTCTGAGCTGTAACCGTTCGTCCCTCCCTTCCTTTTCCTGAACCTCTGACAACCACCAGTCTTTCTACTGTCTCCATAATTGTATTAATGAAACTGAATTCATTTAAACTCTCCAAAAGCAGATATCCAGATGCAGATGTTTTCATTGGACAATTCTACCAAATGTTTAAAGGAGAATTAACATAGTTCTACACAATCTCTTCCAGAAAATGGAAGAGGAGGAAACAGCTCCCAGCTCGTTTATGAAGCTAATGTTACCCTGATACCAAAACCAGCAAAGTCATTACGAAAAAGAAAACCACAGACCAATATTTCTTATGAATACACATACAAAAATCCAAAATATTAACAAATAGAAGTCATTAACATATAAAAAGAATTATATATCATAACCAAGTAAGATTTATCCCAGGGATACAAGGCTGGTTCAATATTCAAAAATCTACCACGTTACAGGCTAAAGAAGAAAAATCTCATGATCATATCAATCAAAGAAAAAAATATTTTGACAAAATTCAACACTCATTCGTGATAAAAACTCTCAGAAAACTAGGAATAAGGGAAACTTCTCAACTTGATAAAGAGCATCTACAAAAAAAACACAGCTAACAT